AAATTCTTAAAGTCATTTCCTAACTGTGTTGATGGTGTTTGTGCCCCGGCTATTTTGGCATGTGACCTCCAGTTTTGTGCTGAAGTGTTTCTTCTCCACTGTTTCCAGCACAGAACCAATTTTATGTCGCTGAGATACTCCAAGCTATTGTAGAGTTTTCACAAATATTTAAGTTTGGTTACAACTGTTTAATTTCTCCTAATTTGAATATAACTGTTTTGCATCTCCCTGTTGGCTTATTAAGAATGACAAGACAGCACTTTTCTGAGGTAGCAATGAGCCATCTGCTTATTCTACTAATTGGCTGAAATTTTCCCTGTTTCAGTTGTGGAGCCATTATCTCCTGCTTTGTGGTGCTTTCCTGGCTGACATCATCAGGTATGATAGTTTAACTGGGACATGATAATACAAATAAACCAATGCCTGGAACAGAGAATATACAAGTCACTGCTTTGCTATTTTAGCTATTCATTAAAAAAAAAGAAACTTCAAAAAAAGCAAAAATGTGTCTAAATCAGTAATCAACTCTAATGGTGAGCAGAAGAGCGTGCGCTCTGGTGATTTAGAGGATCTGAGTTCATTTAGGGTCCTGAGTTATGATTAAAACCTGAACATTGTGATTAACAGAAACAAGCACATATAACCTTTATGAATTTGTCTAACTCTCTGTGGATCGCACTCATTTTGACTTATACCACGTCACAAGTTCCACAACGTGTTGCATGGCTGTTATCCATAACTTTCTGTCCATTTCTTACACTTGAGACAGACTAGAAAATCATTATTCAAGTTATGTGTGCACCATGGATCTATACAATGGCACAATTATGTTTTCTGTTTTTTGTTTGGGGTTGTTGTTTTGGTGGGTTTTTTTCCTCTTGTTTTCCTAGGAAGGAAATGTAGCACATTCATGGTAGACAATTACTTTCCCAGTGTCCCACAGGAGTGCAATGTGCTGAAATGAGATTCAGAGCTCTCGTGCTCTAACTCCAGTGACACCTTCAGGTTCAGCTGCCATGGCCCCATGGTCTGTGTTAAGGGGCACATCCAATGACAGGTATTTCTAGACAATGAAAAAATGTCATTTAATGGGTGAAAATATAACATATATGCTAATTTTTAAATACTGCAGATGTCATTTCAGCTGAAAAAATAAATCCTTGAACTAAGTTTTGTGAGGCTTTAATCAAACTGAGCCTCTCTTGTGGAATAAACTCCAAGAACTGTAACTGTGAGTTGTGTATTTATCACCAGGCTGGTAACATGTTAGGGTATTCGATTTTGGTGCTGTACCAGTTTTTCCAGTGCTGTCTTTATTATCTTTTTATTTCCTCAGCTACCTAGGTTGTGCTTTGAAGGACATTCAAAAGTTTCGACAGCCTACATCTTTCTTTGACATTTAAACACCCCATTTCATGTAGCCCAGTTTTCTCACTGCATTTTACTGTACAGCTCCCAAGCATTTGAACTGCAATCCCACCTGGGAAGTCATCCTCCTAACGTGCTGCCTGATGGCTAGAGCCTGACACTGGTCATGTGCACTGTTGTAACATATGCTGTGTTATCTTGCGGTTCATTGTTTTATGTCTTTGTGGAGCTTTGGAGTTATTTGAACTTCCATTCTTTGATTTGTCACAGCTGCCCTTCATTTATTTTGCTGTTCACATCCTTGATGTTTGAGTCCTGGGAAACATTACACAGGGCCAGGAACTTCAAAGGCAAGAATTTAATAATCCTCAACAATCCATTTTCTGTTTTGCTAACTTCACTCAACGTTAGTCAACCAGATTCTGTTAACACTAATTTCCATTAACATTAGTCAATTGAAAAACTACACCACAGCTTATCTTGCTTGAGACTTGACTTCATTCCTGCTTCCCCTCCCCAGCCCAGCCCAGCTGAGGGTACAGGCTATTTAGGGGTTCAGTCTACTTCTCCCTTATACTGAGACCTGTCACAGGAGGTGTGCCTCTCAGCTGTACACTCACAGCAGTCACTTAAAGCCTCACGTGCACTTGGGGGGACTGACTTCAGTTGGTGATCAGTTAAGTTGGGATGGCTGAATTAATTGCTTCCTCAAGTCTGCTAAAGGATACTTTCCCCTCTGCTTGTACCAGGATGTTACACGCTCCTGAGCTCTGACAGTTTCAGCCCATCATACCAGCTCAAAGTGAAACCAGCACTCTTTTATGATACAGCAACTCCAGGGCAAATAAATAATCCCACAGCATCATTATAAAGTAATTTTAGGATCCCAGCAAGCTCCTTTACCGTAGCATGCATTTCCTTATAAATTGACAGTGACATTGAGTTCAGCATCTCCTCATTTTCTCTGCAATCCAAATTCATTACATAATTCACCTGTGTTTCAAGAAACTACCTTCCACAAGCCAGTTTCTGTCATTTAGGTCACTGTTCTAGAGCATTCTCACAGAAAACAGTAGCGTAATGCAAGTTGTTTCCTGAGAAATGAGACGTGTATCCTACAGACTTAACGTCTGTGATTTTGTTGATAGGCCAGTTGGCTGCTGCCTCTCAGAATGGATCAGAGCTGCCTTCCCCTAAGCAGGGGCTCTGATATATTGTCCAGCCACTGATTTCCATAAAACTTCTTAAGAAATTTACCTGCTGAATTTGTCTGAACTTCAACAGCAACTTCCAGAGTGGTAGGTGAGGGACAGGCAGAGAAAGATGGCAGCCACAGAAGCATAAATGTTTTGGCTCCTTAGGAAACAAGAAAACAAACATCTACAACCAGAACTACTAAGATAAACAAAATTGGTTGGAAAAATAAATAACTAGTACAAATGTTCCTGACCACAGATCAGTGCCAACTCCTCAAAAACATTCAGTGATTTTCTTCCCATTGGGTTTTTGTTACGTAAGATACACACTCCATTGAGTTCATGCGTTGGATTCAGTTCTTTGGCTATATCAGAATCTCTTTTTTTACTCCAAAGAATGAAAAGGAGAAAGGAGTAGAAGCAGGTACGCAAGGTCATTTGAAAATTGCACAAATTATAAATTAAAACCAGCATAATTAGCTCCTATTTAAACAGTTAGTGACTGTGTGAGCATTTACTTGGTAAAACAGTGATTTTCTGGTTTACTTTAGAGGTGTGCAGGAACAGATTTACATTAAAGCAAAGTGTACCAGTCTCAAATAAAGCTGTATACATATCAATTTGCACCAACACATCAGTAGAAACTAGCCAAAGTCAGAGTGTCTCCGGTTTCCTGTGTACACAATGACTGTACTTCCACCTTCCAATAACTGAAATAAAACATGAAATATGATAGATGGCCGAGTCTTTGAAAAACACACTGCACATGTGATAGAGGTAACTGCCTCATTACCTCAGTTAAGTTTTCTCCAAGGGCAACTGCCTCACTGGCACCACTCTCACAAAGGATGTTCGGATGGCAGAAGATGCTTGACTTAGTCACATGTACCAGCAGTTGCTCTCTGCTGGTTGGGTACTGAGCCGAGCCAGCTCCACCCCACCAGCTCCTGCTTCTGATTCCAACATGAATGTGGTACAACCTCCTTGTCTGGGTCATTTGGTGCAGGCTTATACCAAGCACAGAGGGACTCTGCAAGAGGATATACACAAATTAGGAGCACAAAGTCATTATTTGTTAACTAATGCACACAGCAGACAGCCACGACTAACACGCTACTAGGTGAAGTGTTAATATGCCCCACAGCAAGACATCTGTGTGTTTGAGGAGCTGGCTATTCTGGATGAGGCAGGGAAGAAGCATCCCATGCTGCTCTGTGCAGAGAGTGGTCTTCTGAGCCTCCGCTTTTGTTTGTTCTTATGGTTTAAGAATGTCAATAGACTTACTCCTGAATCTCTGAGCTATGGACTATTTCCACTGCAATAATCACACTTGCCTGGGGTTTTTACTCGTCTCTGTCATGGCTTTAGCTCAAGCAGTTCCTCACAGCTTCCTCAAGCAGAGAGAGCCCAGCTCAGGCCACAGTGTGACACCCAGCTGGGCCCCGAGTCATGAGGTGAGGCAAACCCTGCCGCGGGGGCTGTGCAATCCCTTTCCTAAGGGGTCGTGTGGTGACGAGAGGTGGCAGATACTCGCCCTCGGTCAGACTGTCCCCACAGCAGTTGTGGCAGAAGGCGCAGAAGTGGGTGACGCTAGTGTCTACCCCCCCACAGCCAGGCCCCATAATGGCGGTATGGGCGGTTGGCCTCCTGGTGTCAAGGAAATACCTATAGGGTGCTGCCTCAGAGGCTGGGCAGGGACTCCCACATTGAGCCTGGTTTAGTTGTATTTTATAGATACACTTTATTTAGGGCATTTTGTGGATTTTAATGGCAGACAGAGGGACTTTATTGCAGCCCAGCCTGGCTCTAATGCAGCCGGGAAGAAAAAAAACATAGAATCATAGAATTGTCTAGATTGGAAGGGACCTTTCAGATCATTGAGTCCAACCATCAACCTGACACTGATGAGTCCATCACTAAACCGTGTACCTCAGCACCACGTCTACTCATCTTTTAAATACCTCCAGGGAAGGGGATTCCATCATTTCCCTGGGCAGCCTGTTCCAATGTTTGATGATGCTTTTGGTGAGGAAATTTTTCCTCATATCCAATCTAAACCTCCCCTGGCACAACTTGAGGCCTCTTCCTCTTGTCCTACTGCTTGTTACTTGAAAGAAGGGACCGAACCCCACCTGGCTATAGCCTCCTTTCAGGGAGTTGTAGAGAGTGGTAAGGTCTCTCCTCAGCCTCCTTTTCTCCAGGCTGAACACCCCCAGCTCTCTCAGGCGCCCCTCGTAACACTTGTGCTCTACCCTTCACCAGCTTCATTGCCCTTCTGTGGTCACACTCCAGCACCTCAAAGCGATTCCCCTGAGTGTAACCCCGGTGTCGCCGCCCGCCCCACCAGCCGCTGCCGGGCTCATGGCAGTCAACCAGAGAATCAAACCCATCCGGCGCCCGCCTCCCTCGCCGTCCCGCCCCTTGCCGCCGCGGGCTTTCTGAGCGGTTGAGAGAAGGAGGCGGCGGCGGGCGCCATGCGGACCCGTGGGGAGGTGGACGCGACGCTGCAGACGGCCAAGCTCAACCCGGCGGAGCTGCTGCCGGCCGTGCATTGCCTCAGCTTCGGGCCGCAGGCCAGCTCCGGTGAATGCTGCCTGCTGCAGCTGGAGCCGGGCCTCTGCGCCGAGCTGGAAGCGGGACGCAGGTACGGGCGGGCTGGGGCGCCCCCTGTAGGCTTGAGCGGGGGGGTGTCGCCGCGGGCTGGGCCGCGCCGCGCCTCAGGGGGCCGCGGCCGCGGCCCCCTGAGAGGCGGCGCGACCCGGCCCGCGGCGACACCCCCCCCCCCCCAG